ATACACATTCATACATCAGATCACTATTAACCAAAAGAAGCGAAATAAACTTACTATTCTTCCCCCCTTGGAAAAAGGCGTCAGAGAGGGGCACAATTGAAGGCACCCAGGGCATGGCTAAGGGCACCCAGGGTATAGCGCCCTTCTAATTTGGGCTAAAGAGACCACTGTCTTCTTTACATATAAGATGTAATATTCTCAAATTCGAACGGCCAACTATAGTAGTCAGAGGCGGATTTAGAGAGTTTTTCAGGGGACCCCCCCCCCCCCCCCCCCCTTTCGTGGGAAAACTTTGGTTGATCATATACATGTAGTGAATCACTGAATCATGACTTGAGCTGGCCCCCTCTAATGAAAATTACTAGATCTGCCACTGGTAGTCCATTTTGTCTAGCAGTAATCCTCAAAGGTAAATAATACGTTTTTCTTATCAACTTGATTATAACCTTGCTAACTATTACATAACTGTCAAGACACAGTATGCATGTTAAAACTACTTGCATTGTCATAAAGAGTAAACAATCATATTCCACAAAACAAACAAAAAAGTGTTTGTATCGTTACTTTAGCTATTACAAACCATATATATATATATTATCATATGTGACTATCAAGCCTCCTTCAATGATAACCCTGATTCACCAATACTACAACTAAAATAAAATACCAGGAGAAAAAAGACACTATATATTCTAATGCTAGGAGTGCAAGATTCCAATAAAAAACCCTATACCCACAAACCACCGATCTCAATACATGTATAAGCAGCTAAAATACGGCAAGCTTTTTAGAAAAGCTATTACTTGTCAGTATAATATTCATGATAGGATATGTGTCCTTGGTGTCTTAATTCCTAGATTTTCCTCCGATTTTTTTCCATTCGATACATTATTATAAAAATGAGAAGATGTGATATGATTTCCACCGAGTCATCTTTCAGCTAACAATATGTGTCACTATAAGGCCTTCAACAATGAGATAACCCATACCTGTATCGCATAGCAAGTTGTAAAAAGTCATGATATAACAAGTAAAAAGCAAGTAAAACCAGAAATTAACGGCAAGATGTATGTACTCGTCCTGAATGTTGGCCAATTCACGTTAAACATCCAACAATCAATCAATCCGATTGATGTACAAAACATTAAACGGAAAACAAATAAGATGCGTAGCCACAAACCCCAACCGCTAAATTACAGGCTCCTTAATAAAGTGTATTTTGAAAGGTTAAAATAAATGTTCCTACTTCTTTCTTTGCAACAAAATACATAGGATGTTTATGCATGGTGTCAACAAACAAATCGTGAATATAAGTCCGTTAAGATCTAGTAAAAAAAACGAAATAGATTTTACATCGATTTAACTTTCAGCACTGTTGTGGAAGATTATTGCCACTTCAGTCATGTTTCATTTACTTTGAATATTTTGCATAGTCTTCTGGACAAAGTATTGTCATTTTAATTTCAACAATTAGAATTACATATACACATGATAGATTATACATATATTTGTGTCAACACTTTATTATTCTAGACTGACACTAGCCAGCTATATTTTCAGCGTAAGTTGGTAGTCAGTAAGTACTGTGCAATATTGATAGACAATCACAAAATTGATCGACACCAAGGGAATATTGAACATCATGTCTACTTCTTTATAACCGTATAATTGGTTTATTATGTACGTACACCATCTTTGACAAAAAAGTGAAATTTGCATATTATACTATCGAACGTGTCATGAATAATTGTCAATGGTTCTACTTTTTTGGATGAATTGTGTCATACTATATATATATCATATTTTTTTTAACGTATCGCGTTTCTTTTAAGAAAATATCGTATTGGAAAAGTTTTCATAATAAAAGCATATCGCTATTCTATAAGAAAAAATGTCGCACTCTTATGAGAAAATATAGCACTTTTATCCTATTAAACGTGATTATGGAGTAGAATGCGATTCATTAAGTTAAATGACCATGCCATTTGCATTTTGTACACCATAGTCAAAATTACAAATAAATAGCTTTTATTTAATGCAAATGCATATTTACTTGTATAAACATAATACAACATATTATGTTCAAATACATAGCAAGTTGTATAAACGTTTGTCATGTCGAATACCTCCATGGTTTAAAAAAGATGAATTTCATTTATTTCCCTATAAATGTCAAGATTCGTCTGATATTTTCCCATAATGCATCTTGTTTACAAAAGAAAATATCGCTACTCTACATAAGAAACTTTTTTTCTCGATTTGCGCTCTCCATAGATCGTAAATGTGTTTGATTAAATCTATGTATTCTAAATGAAACCTAAAATATGTTAAATTGAATGGTCAGTTGACTATCGACTTTTGAATTAGTGCAACGGAAACATGTTTCTTGTTATACATTTTAATAATTGATGTAGTATTGTAATAAATAGGTAGAAAAACGATGTTTGTTATACTGTATTTATAAAAGTACATGTAACATGGTCTGTCTTTGAGTTTTTCTCTCAAACTCTCAGCTACATGTAAACCTCTCCATTTCGGTTGCAATTCCTGTACAGTATAAGTCGTTTCTTGGGCATTTACTGCAAATGTAGAGATAGGCCAGATCGACTGACACCTATTAGAGAGACTGAGGTTAACATTTTTTTAATAAAGAAAAAGAAGTAACAATACAAGATAATATATATACATTTTGATCGTGAAAACAAACTGAAGAACAATAATAAATTTAAATATACATTTTCAATTCATTTCTAAATATTAAAACAGCAAATACGTTTATAATCTTAGTTTTATTTAACTTTCCGAAGTTTTTGATATCATGAACTTACCAATTAAGGAGAAGTTCGCATTTTGGCGAGCTAGCTTCAATTCGGGCATATATAGCAGTACCCGTTGATGCTATGGCAACGTATATTTTTTTTGGGGTGATTATGGTTAAACATCGAATTGTCCGACAGCATGACTAGAAGAACAGATGTTTATATTATGTCGAAAGTTGTGTAATAAATGTTCACCTGCTTGTGGTGTTATTTTGATTCATATATCATTAGAGATTTGTTCTATCCAGAAATAGTTAAAAATGCATGTGTATTGATATTGTAATTATAGAGAAAGTGTTTTAGCAGATAGCTTAAATCAATAGTGACAATACCCAACTATACGTTATAGTATATTGGTCCCCTCTAACCTAGTTTTATATAAATCTGTACCAAATATTTTGTGATGATACATTGTAGTAGAATAAAAAATAAATTTAGAAAAATTCAAAAATACATGGGATTTTTAGTATAAAAATACTTTTATATTGTTCGACATACAATTGTTATCTAAAATAAATATGTAAATGCAGCTTCAGAAATGTGTTTTTTTAGAAAATTTTTTAAAAATATAAAAGAATCGTTAAGCACCGTTAGCCGGACTCTGTCAGTCTATTTCATAAGACGGATGACACATTTAAACTTATTTCAAAAAAGCAGATCTTATTGAGCCAGTACACAAACGTACTTTTACGTAATGTCTGAGTTAGAATGTTATCTTAGCATGTTTTGTCTGTAATAGAAGCTGAATTATATAATTCACATATATATAATGAATTGTTCGTCCAATTAGAAATAAAAACTTGTTTCTAAGTTAATGGCTCCAGGTGTTAGCGGCGTTTTGCATTTGCGCCGGCTAATACAACTCCTTTGAATGGTGTCCAGCTTGGTAAACCCTAAGCAGTACACCCAATGTCGATTAATTTGTTTACCAATCCGACTTTAGTCAACAACATTATAAAAATGAGCAGACATACGACCGCTTTTTTTAACTTCCTAAAGACTGCTTATCAACCAAATCAACTCTTACTAGCACAACACATATTATTCACTGACCTAGAGACAGCAACCCGTTATTTCGTCCAACAAGTATCCTCCAACATTATCTAGAAAAGCTGCCTTTTTCACAACACTCAGTAAGGGTTTCTCAGATACTATCTAAGCGATGGACTAACTTTATTTGGTGTATGGTAGAATTGTACAATGTACAGGGTCCATCTAGTAACCATATTACAGACTTTTAACATAATTCAATCATGATATAAAGTAAAGCAGGAAAGACGTTTTAGTGTGTGGCATTTTTTTTAAATAAAACTTTGTATTCATAATTTAAAGATTTCATTTATTTTTGTGTAATACTAGTGATGCACCGACAACTTAAAGCATTCTTCCTGCGCATAATTTCTAGATAATTTTGGTGTATTTGCCCAGCAATGCTTATAAAGTTGACAATTGTATACGATTTAAAAACGTTTCGTTGTTAACCACTGTTTTGTATACAAGGGATCTTTCATGTAGAAATTAATATTTTTTCGAATTTTTCCAACAATCATTCAAAAGTTATATAGAGCGGGTTTTATTGTAACTCCATTTAGTAAATTATCATTTACAGGTAAATTTCATAAACCTGTAAATTATTTACAATGTGCCTGTAAACAAAGTATCAAAAGTTGAAGAAACGTGAACACACCTGTATTATAATTAATTATTGAACAAACAAACATAAAAAGAAGTAGAGATTTAAATTCGTATATTGTTTAATTTCAATTGATATATAGGTCATTACTGAGGTTTTTGTTTAGGATTTATAGTAAAAAAGATAAAAATATTGAAAGGTCTATTTTACATAGAGCGCCGTTTCATTGGAACTTTGTTGATTTTATTGTAACTGCCAGTAATTTAGACGATCTTTGCTACATGTAACTAAGGTAAGTCCACTTTATTCCGCTTCCAATCATATCAATATGCTAGCTTTAACTGTTAAAAAAAAACACATAATTATACAAAATGAAAAGGAAACAAAATGCAGCTTAGATTTAAATTTCACATAACTCAAAATTGAGGCTTTTAAAAAAATTTTAGAACCTAAATTGCAAATCATATTATTCTCAACTATTTGGTCCGGTTCAATCATATATTTTTTCTTCTTATGACTTACGTGCCATAAATGTTTCACAGGTTCTGGAGATTTAAGCTGTTGACATGGGTTGTAGTTCATCATCGACATCTGGTACGGGACACTCAATCGAAGAAGTTAAAACCCAAGAGAGGGTTTCAAACCAGAAAAATGGAGTAAACTACAACTCTACAGAAGCTGTCAACAGACCGCAAACTGGACAGTCATCACCTGTGAAGACGACGAACAATGACCAAACAACATCACATAAAACAACAACGTACAATGATACAGAAAAACCGTCAGCAAATTCTGATGATTTGAAACTTGACTATGACGAATTCAAAGATATAGATGAATATGCAAGACAGGTATTTATAACCATTTTGTAACGTATGTAACACCTGGTGGGATTTACTTTTGTCCCCAAAAAATAATGTTTTTTTGCTACCTTAGTCGAAGTTGACCTTCGATGGTTAAAACCATTCATCAAAGAAACTTTATCTTATCCAGGCGATTATTCGGTGATTTTTATTTCATTAGCTTTCAATATGCGGATGAATCCAAAGAGGTGCATCAAACGTAGCACAGCGGGAAGTTATAATTAATTTTGATCAATATATAGAAATGTTTCTGTTGTTGAAGCATCTTCTAAAATTTTGCCATACCAAAAGATCTACTACATAAACAAAGAGACATCTCCGGGTCGGGTGGGGTGGGGACGGGGTTGTTGTTTGGTTGCTTTATCCCCTTAGCGACACAGAAACGCTTTTATTCAAATGCTTAGATTTAAAAAAAACTAGCTGCTTTTTAATTGTTAAAAGTTAAGCTGCGTATATCGGTATTTTTGTGTGTTTTTAATTGTCGCTTTGTTCGCGGTAGCTAATTATATAAAGAACGCGAAAATTTTACCCCGCGTAAATTATCCTGCATGTTCCAAGATGTATTTTTCTTTGAACGTTTCATACATTATACTGAGTCTTTTGGGTTTTTTTGACAGATGACAAGAATGTGCAAACTGAATAAAAATCTGTTTTATCAATAATTAATTTGAATTGGATAATCTTAGCCGTTATACATGTCACACCTTTTGACAACAAAGCAATCAATGACAGTCATGTTAAAACATGTTGATTAATTATCGACGATCTACATGATCCATTGATTGGTGTCATAACCTGAACATTTTGTATTTAATGTAAAATCTAAATAGATAAATCACTTTTACACGGACATTTGTGTGTTTTGTTGTTTTTATGGTAATGACAAATCTTGGAATCGTCTTAAACGATCTGTCTGGTGACCAATTATTGATACTCAGAAAAAGACAATAGTTTTGGAAGATCTTAGCGGTCTTGCTAACAAACACGGGTTTTGTAATTTGCATTCTTTTTAGACGGATGCTTTCTCTTGTGCTTTAAATTAAAATTTCAAGTTCTTTACCCCAAATCTTAAGATTACGATATGATATGCTTGTTTTCCGACAGAAAGTTCAGCAGCTCCAAGAACGGACTTTTCCATTGACCACAAATGCAAACACATTTCCACAGTAGACTTTGTCATAACAGTTGTTATTTGGTGTATTAAAATTTTCTTTCAAAATCAATTTACATTATGCAACTTTCACGTTTGTTTACCCTTTCTTTTATCGCACTTGTGCTACATGTATGCTGTACTCGAAGTTACGAGATGTATCGTGGTTAAGGTCACGGCATACGTAAAAAAATATCTGCTAATGATAAAAAGAGAAGACAATATTTTAATAGCAGTACATTTCTCAAGAATTTGATAAGATAAAGGATTTTCTTTTAACACATAGTCCACGTACACGTGTTTAATGGTAAAACGTAGTCATTCACGTATATAAAACAGATTCAGCTTTCTTTTATAAAAAAATAAAATTGAGAATGGAAATGGGGAATGTGTCAAAGAGACAACAACTCAACCAAAGAGCAGATAACAGCCGAAGGCCACCAATGGGTCTTCAATGCAGCGAGAAAATCCCGCACCCGGAGGCGTGCTTCAGCTGACCCCCTTAACAAAAATGTATACTAGTTCAGTGGTAATGAACGTCATACTAAACTCCGAAATATATAAAAGAAACTAAAATTAAAAATCATACAAGACTAACAAAGGCCAGAGGCTCCTGACTTGGGACAGGCGCAAAAATGCAGCGGGGTTATAACTGGAATAGAAGGAGCATATGACTATTAATGCGCCAATGATGTATATTTGAACTGATTAAAATACGTAAGAAAATTAACCCTTCAGACAAACATCATCGCCAAAGTTTCAATCTTTAAAGGGGCATTAGCTGTTAAATCCCCGTTTTTACACACATTCCTATATTTTGTTTACAACATACTAATATGTATACCCAAGTTATAAATGTCCAAAAGAAGCAATCAACTAATATAAAAATAGGAAGATGTGGCATGATTGCCAATGAAACAACTATCCACCCAAGTTGAAATTAAGTTGATGTATAAGCAATTAAAGGCAACCGTACGACCTTCAACAATGAGAAAAACATATACCGTAAAGTCTGATATAAAAGGTCCCGACAAGAAAAATATCAAACAATTCAATTAGGAAAACTAACAGCCTAATTTATTACAAAACAAATATGACAGCGACAAGTACTGAAAAACAGGCTCGTGACTTGGGACGGACACTTAAATGTCAACTTGAATGTGTGCTTAACTCAACAGATCTATACAAAGCATAAAAACTTCTAACAAAAACACAGACCTTACCAAGTCAGGAGCCTGTAATTCAGTGGTTGTCGTTTGTTTATGTGTTACATATTTGTTTTTCGTTCATTTTTGTACATAAATCAGGCCGTTAGTGTTCTCGTTTGAATTGTTTTACATTGTCATTTCGGGGCCTTTTATAGCTGACTATGCGGTATGGGCTTTGCTCATTGTCGAAGGCCGTACGGTGACATATAGTTGTTAATGACTGTGTCATTTGGTCTCTTGTGGAGAGTTGTCTCATTGGCAATCATACCACATCTTCTTTTTTATTCTTACATATGGACTCGTTTTAATGTTAATGTAATTTAGACAAGCACTTTCAATAGTATACATGTAACAATAAACCATTAGATTTTATGGGTGCAGCCATTTTATGAACATAACATGGTATTCAGAATTCAGAATATGGCTAATCCTGATTGGTCGATATGTGCGCCCTTTATTTTTTATTGTTAGTGACTTCGTGCACTCTGCATTATACCAAAGGCAAACTAAATTATTTTCCTAAGCCCTAAGGAACTGAGATGTCTTTTCAACGCTAGGATAAGACACGTGTTTTAAGTGCAAAATTAATAGGCATGGGAGATAAGTACAAATTACGTTAAAAAAAGCCACGCGAACCTATAGTTTTTGGGCCAAAAAATACTGTCCCAATATTTTTTCTTTAATTATAGCAAGGTTTCGTTAAAAAAAAATCAACTTCCTAAAGTCTTTATGTCGAAAAAGGCTGTCATTATATCTTATTGGAAAATTAATTGTTTATTACAATCTACAAACGATTTTTCTAGTTATATTTGATTTTGTGTTGGAGATGAGAAATATATGTAAATTATCGTATTTCTTCTACGAGTCTAGAGTAATGAATGAACACACGCGCTTAAATTCAAAGTTGAGGTTGTATGAATACGGTTTCATATGAGGTTGAATTATTACTCATTAGCATATTAGATTACACCTTACATTTTTGCATATTTAATGCACACATAGCTGCGCTTTTTGTGCAATAAATAAGTAAATTCGTAAATGGCGTGCACCAAATGAAGCATCTGATATACTATATAACATAACACATATTTATTTTTTATTCTATATTTTTGGCATTATTTTTGCCGAACAATAAATAGTTTTTTGTATGATTTTTAGAAAAAAAGATTACTGAACGTTTTCTTTGTTGAAAGCTAATTTAAACTAATTATAATAAATTAATTGTTTAGAATGATCACAATCCAAATGCGTTTTCAATAATTGTATATCATACAACATTATATTAATTTCTTTATTTGAGCGTTTGTAAATTACTTTACTTACAGGCACCAAGTTCTGTCGAAGAGTCAATAGAAACATTAGCACACTATCTTGCCAAACCAGCAAAGAATGATATAGAAGTTGTAAGAGCACTTTATGTTTGGATATGTGAAAACATAAGGTACATGTATTCTTCAAGTTTAATTCCAAGAAAGGCACAAGAAGAGGCAACATAATCTTTGCTACAGTATTGGACCTATCAGAAATTGCATTTGTAATGAACTATAAGTCATTATAATTATACTTTTAATTTCTTTAACTTTCAGTCAAGATTTATTCTTGTAAAGTGAAACTCCGATTTTTCAGCTTTGTGATAAATGTATTTGTAGTGATGAAAAGAATCAAGCATATTAAATGGTTGACAAACTTATAAAGAAACATATAATAAATGTAACTTTAAAAACGCAAAACATAGACTATAAAGTTAATTCCATAGTTTAACGTATTCTCTATGAAAGTGTCGCAAAAGTTCTACAATTTCAATAATGTATATTACGTCTGTTTATTCTTTATTGTTAATCAACAGTGTCTAAACCTCAGATAAACTATATGTTACATATCAATATATCACGAAAATAAATGAATGCACAGGACGCAAACCAAGAGAGAAAAACAAATTATCGAATCACATAACGCCAAACAGAACGAGACCAGCTAACTCCATAAAGCGTTAAAAATCGTTCGGGTCATACTTCCCTTTCTCTACATAAAGAAACGTAGCATGATGTCACCACTGTACGTTTCGGAGTTTGCGAGATTAGGTGTAACGCCAGGGATCCCATAGTTGCTGAATGGATTGTAAAATGTTGTGAAAAAGCCATTGAGATATCTAAAAATAACAGTTAATTATTTCATAAAAAAAACTTGATTATTGTGACTTGTTTTGTATGAAAAAATTAAATACGTAATTATTATATTTCTACTTTACAGTTATGACACCAATGCTTACTTTGGCGGGAACCTGTCATCTCTAGCCACTAAGGGTGGTGATGTTTTAAAGAGTAAAAGCAGTGTTTGTTCAGGATATGCAAACGTGTTTGAATCATTGTGCCAGTAAGTAGCTTTAGTGAGAGGTTGTATATACGAATTGAGCATATACCTTTTTATCAATTTTATAGATAGTATTGCATAGGAAAATACATACCACAACGACTAAAATTGATAATAAATTGTACTGAAATGTTCATGACCTACGAGTATTTGCAGGTTATTGAGATCTACTGTTGATTGTTCATTGCAAACATAAAATCAAAACATGAAACTTCTTTCAAGAGATGTAGTATACAATATTTTTCTGCCAATATATATAATCGACAGAACAATACCAAACAACTTTTCCTTTTTTAGACGATCCATGAATATAAAAATAAAAGCATTATGTTCCGGGTAATTTTAGTTTACCAAGCGACAGTTATTTCTGAGATTACTATATTATATAACTACCCACAGTAGTAAACCATAAATAAATAAGAAGATGTGGCATGAGTGCCAATGAGAAAACTCTTCATCCAAGTCACAATTTGTAAAAGTAAACCATTATAGGTCAAAGTACGGTCTTCAACACGGAACCTTGGCTCACACCGAACACGTGCTATAAAGAGCCCTAAAATGACTAGTGTAAACACTATTCTAACGGTAAAACCAACGGTTTAATCTATATAAAAAAAAACGAGAAACGAGTAACACTTATGAACCACATAAACAAATGACAACTACTGAACATCAGATTCCTGACTTAGGACAGGTGCAAACAAATGCAGCGGGTTTAGACGTTTTAATAGGGACCACCCTTCACCCTTATCTGAAACAATATTATCATGTTATGTTCTTTGTATTTCAGAGCACTAGGCATAACTTGTAAAAATATCAGCGGGTATGCGAAAGGATATAGCCATAAACCTGGCGTAACTATAACATATAACCAGAAAACCAATCATGCATGGAACATAGTTCAGCTGAATGGAGTGTGGCGATTCATAGAAACTACATGGGGTGCAGGTCACATAGACAAAGAAAAGAACTTTGTCAAGAATTTCAGTAACTTTTTCTTTCTAACTCCACCTGAAAGTTTTATTTATGATCATTTTCCGTACTTGAACAACAATATTGAAGAAAGTAAGGAGTGGCAGCTTCTTGAAAATCCAATCTCAATAGAAGAATATACTAGGAGACTTAAACCTTCTAAAAAAGCCAGACAATATGGCGTCAAATTTACATCTCATCCATATGAAACGATCATAATCAACAATTCTCCATGTACAATAATAGTTGAGACAACAGGTAATCCATTCCAGAATTGCTGGTATAATTTAAACGATGACAAAGGTACAGCAATCAATGCCGGGGCTATTATGGTGTGTGAAAATAACAAATCATGTAAGAACACTTTACGCCCTCCGCATAAAGGAAAATATACGCTCGCATTACATGCAACAATAAACGATACAAATATTTCAATAGCCAATTATATAATTGATTGTGTTGCTGTTGAACCAAACTGGAAACCTTTTCCAAACAACACTGGTTACTATGGCCCGAAGCCTGATTTCACTGATAGAGGATTCGAAAGGTCTTGCATCAACCCGTTTTATGAATGTAAAAATGGTAAATTGGATCTACTATTAAAGACAATATCAACTCCTGATGTACTAGTTCAATTACACGATGCCAAAAATGTCGACCACAAAGATTACCTGATTGTAGAGAAAAATGACTCCTCCATCAATATAAAATCAAGGTTATTAAATAAGGGGTACTATAAACTCCAACTGTTTAGCAAAGTCGACCAGACCTACACTTTGGCATATACTGTTCTCATACTAAACATTGCAGAATCGAACGTGAAATCAAAGTTCCCAATTACCTACTCAAGTACCATAAAATATAAGTGTCGGCTATTTCAACCATTAGATAGAAAACTGCCGGCAAATTCTGAAATTTGCTTTGAGTTTACCTCTCCAGCTTTTGAAAGTATTCTAGTTAACAAGAAAAAAATCCTCCGAGATAACGAAGACACATGGAAAGTTACAGTTAAGACAGGCGAATCTGGAGAATTACGATTGTCAGGAAAACCTACGGATGAAAGCTCATACAAGACAATTTATACATTTGTGATAGAACCATAATATTCTTTGTAATATCTTAAGGATTTAATCATGTTTATAGTAGCAATACTTTTAACATTGATTTTAACGAAGACTTCATGCGGACCATATTCTGCTTTATATAAAGAAACAGCTGTGGTTTTCTTCCAATTTATGTATTTTGAAGAGAAAAAACGGATGTATAAATTACCTTTCAACAACTATAAATTGATTTTTTAGTCTAAAACACATGGTCTATTGTTAAGTTGAAATTGATTTTGAACTAGCTAGCATTCAGTAACTGCGAGTGATCTTAGATGAGTACTTTTGTCTGTTTGTTGTTTTTTTTCTATGTGCCTAATGCCTATTTAGTGTCGATCTGATGAGTCCTTTCCCATTGAGTTGTATTGTTTGTTCTTTTGTTTAAATATTACACCAAGGCCCAGGTTACGGTTAGATTAAAAGTCACTAATATATTCCATCTCGCCACATTCTACATATACATGTCCAAAGTCAGGGACGTATAATTTAGTGATTTTCGTTGGTTCCTGTCTGCCATTTTTGTATTTTTATTGGTTTTAGCATAAATCAAGCCGTTGGTTTTTTCTTTTGAATTTATTTACATTTTATTGACATGAGTTATAACATATAAAATTGTCTTTTGATTTTAAACATTTGCATCGTTGATAAGTTAAACTTCGTGATCAAGCTATTAAATATGGCACCGCTAATTGTTAGTAGATCAGTAAAAGTAGAACTACTAATAGTTAGTCAATGTTACATGGTATGCAGTTGTATAAGCACTTGTACACTGCAATTTCCTACAATTTGGCCCTGCCCCTTAGTTTTAGTTAGTTGAAACTGCAGTTTCCATGTTTTAAGTTTGAGATAAAGTCAGTTAAAGGGGGACCACTAATGATAAGTATGTAATTATATTAGCATTAACATTATAATTTTAATGCAGAATGTATTGTCACAGCCATTACTCATGGTTCATTGACTTTGAAACTTTTGCATAACTTACATACCAATGTTTATGATTAAGTTAGGTAATCAAGGTTACTTGACGTAAATCAAATAACAATCAGTCAATCAATATTTGGTATTCAGCTGTATAAGCAATGGCACATTTCATTTTATTGATATTATTCGTCCCCTTAGTCATGATCCGTTGATTTTAGAAAGTTTTGCGTAGAGCTTGCATTTCATATCACGATTTCCTTGATAAAGGGTTGCTGCTCACAAGAAACCTATTAAACCAAGGGTTCCAAGTGGTGAAGGTGAAATCATCCCTTCGAAAAAGTTTCGGACGCCATCACGAGTTGGTTGATCTTATGAAGTATCTGCTTCACAGATGACGACAGATATGTTAAAATTGTCGTAAACACAATCCCGTCCTCTTTTTACCGAATTAAACTTATAACCGAGTTTGTACTTACATGAGCAACACAACGGGTGCGACATGTGAAAGATCTGCTTACCCTTCCGGACCACCTGAGACCATCCTCGGTTTTTGATGGGGTTCCTGTTGCTCAGTCTTTAGTTTTCCATGTTGTGTTTTGTATACTGTTGTTTTTGTCTTTTGGTTATTAATTTTTTTAATGCCATGGGGCTGTCAGTTTATTTTCGACTTATGAGTTTGAATGACCCTTTGGTATCTTTCGCCTCACTTTTACATGTGCAGTTGTATTATTTGGGGGTAAAACTAATATCAAGGAAGGCAATGACCATATTGTCCCTAAAAGTTATAAAGCGTTTTGATTAATATGTGAATGATGCCCTTCATATTGACTGGACGGTCTTCAATAGTCAGCGCTAAAGTGTTGTCAACATATATCACATTTAATTGTAATTTGTTAACCAAATACATTGAATTTATGATTTTTTATTTGAAGAGGAAGAACATACTAAACCATTTGTCCATTACAAAAAGACAGCACCATGACCAAAACGAAAAGATTAACTACATTCAATAAAACACTACACAGAAAAATAAAGATTGAGCAACACAAACCCCACCGAAAACCTGTGATGAACTGACATGATCCTAAAGGGGCCAGCTGTATACTACACGATGATACCCGGCATGGTAT